CACTTTTATTACTAATTGTCTTGGTTTATATTGTTTGCAGGTCTTATTATTTTGTTATGAACTGCATTTATCAATAGATTTCAAGGAATGTTCCTACATTGTTCTTCAATATTTCTATGGATTCAAATGTTTTTCACAATTCTTAATGATCTGATTTGATATGGTTTATCTCACAAAAAGCTTAGATGAGGCTATAGGTAACTGAGGTAGTGAAGGACCTTACTTTTTTGAAAAAGTATAATGTTATATATTCATCTGAAGATAGTTTGGGTTGGTTTTATTTTACTTTTGGCCCTGTAGGGGAAACAGAATACAATCAACTATGAGATGTTTTGGATAGGAAAAGATACCTGAAAGCTTTAAGAGAGACAAGAACATATAGATATATTCACAATAACAAATCACAAATAAAGCTGAATAATGAGTCATGATACTGTGTTTAAGACAGAACTTCAGGTGTTATTGTATTGTTCAAGTCTCAAGATATGTATGACTTGTTGACGTATTGTCTTGACTTTGGATGCAGGAGGTGGTAGTTGACTGGCTCACATTATCAGAAGAGCAATAACAATGGGGTAGAAGCATTCTTGGTCACTACTATCTGGCCTTCAGGTGCAGATGTTACTAGCTTAACACAAGCCCATGACCCCCACAGAGACGTCCCATGGAGCCTGTGGAGGGGGGGCTTGCAACTTATCAGTGATTTTTGGCTTGATGCCAAACTCACTTTGGCGGGGGGTATCCCCAGCGTCCATTTTTGCCCGCTCAGACACAACAAGCCTTCCATCATGCCTATATGAAAAAATTATAGAAGCATGTTTTTATGACCTTTTGCTCTCCTCAGAATTTCTATAGCTATCCTAGAAGCAGTTATATCATCAGTTAAAAAAAGCATTGAGATTTTGAGATTTTGGTAACTGAGACAGCTGTGATTACAGTCACTTTACACACAAGGCTTGATTTATCTCTGCTACCCCATAAGCTCTCTGCCATCCTTGTCAGAGACAGAGAGTAAGCATCCACAGTCCTCTAATTTTGGCTCAAAAACTTGTGACTCTTCACTGTCACCCCAAGCAGATATCTTCTTATCAAGGCAAGTAGATATCAAGGGCTATTATGCACAAGATGCATCAGCAAAGGACAGCTTATTCAGAATTTGTGAGTCGTTGATAGGAAACACTGCAGTGTTGATTTTGATGAAAAAACACTGAAAGTTGTGAATTTCAAATTGGTATCATGCCAAAAAATTGAAGCTGTAAGTCCCTCCTCCGCAAGCTCTGGGGGACATGCGCGGTTTGAGGAGGTACTTAGTTAAGTTAGCAGATATAAGGCTTTCACACCAGATTGTTGGTAGCGTCATTCATCAAAAAAAGCGGAGGGTGCATTGGTTGCTACAGACAGTGGCAATCACGTGATAATCATAAATAAAGTAGTCGTTTTACAGATGGAAATTGGTCATCCATTGGCTCAAAAACAGAACCATTTTGTTTGGATTAAAGTGTTGGATAATGCTGAAAGCCAACATGACGAGATGCACAAGGGTATGTCTGTGCCTAAGAATGGTTAGTTTATTCAGAGAAGGTGACTTGGATGTGTGGAGCTGATATGGGGACAGAGATTGGATTAATGGAGGACAACAAACAATTTAATTTATTATGAGGAGAGGCAAGGTGTAGATTGGCTTGAATTGTGGTCACAGAATTTTGTGTTGATACATGAAAGTACAAGGGGTGGGGTAGTACACCACCAACACAGTGCATAGACAGTCAACCAGGATATGTGGTGTCTGCAACTCAGACTGGTGTTTCACATGGTGGGCAGAGTGCAATTGGCCTGACCCAGGGGCAGCCTTTTGGGCTTGATTTTGGGGTTGGAGTGCCCATGTTAGGTTTAGGTCTATTCCACCCAGTTACCTGTGATCATGGGTGGAATCTATGTGTGTAGCACCTGAATTTCCAAATTCCATCTCTGACTGTTAATGTAATGCCCTAATTGACTACTTACTTACAGTATCATTAAATATAAAACATGCTATTTTTGATGTCCTTGAGTGTTTTTTTACTTTGTTTTACTTTTTGGGGGACTTGGCACCTCAGAGGCACACCCCAGCTCCGGCCCACTATAGGCATGCCTTTCAAAAGTTCAAAATCCATGCCCAGGCCTGCCCCAAATCCAAAGCCTGTGCCTACCACGTGACTGGTGTGGCAACAATGAGATCAATTGTCTATCATCCTGGGTCTCTGAATAAGAGGTAGATTTAGAGATCCAAGCTGAATGATACTCACAAAATCTATCATTTGACACTACATCAGTTTATTAATGATGCTTTGCAAAAGTCATTTTTGAAGTTCTTTGCAAGTAAGTGAAAATAAACTATAGTTGTTACCTATAGCTGTCTTAGGTGCAGGATTAATACCGCTGCCAGTTGTAGATCTAAATGTGATTAGACAACCCTCTGAGGTGAATATGGTGACATAGTTCTGCTTCAAGCGTCAGTTTGATGAAGGTTTATAAAAAAAAATACATGAGGCAAAGGACTTTAGTCAAATAGCTAATTTGTAAGCAATCCGTAATGCATTCTTGGATGAAAATATGAAGAAAATAGAGATACATATCTGTAAAGCAATTGGTGGTAAATACAAAAAGAAGTTCTGTGGATAGTAGTTCCAAAGTATAATGAGTATTTGTTTCAAGCCAGATAATAAATGGAGATGGATGGGGATCTTCCAGTTGAAAGGTTGATATAAAAATTGTAATGTTTGAAAAGAAATTCCTTTCTCCTTTGTTGGAAAGGTCACTTACTTTTGTAGTATTTTGATAATTGTATGGAATCTTGAATATTATTTAGTGTCTTTATTCACGGTTTGACCATGTCAATGATGGCTAGTTTCAGCCATTGCCTGGGTTTGCCAAGGTTATGGCTTGTTAGTCTAGTCAGGGAGTCTCATTAAGGAAAAAGACCCTTGACTGGTTTTCCTTCTGTTTGTCAATTATGAGCCGTTCTCAAAATGCATGATAATTATTTTTTATTTTTATTTCACTCTTGATACTGAGTGATAGTGGTGTCATATTTTTTTTAGTGTTTTGTGATATGATAGTAATTTATCTGCTCATCCGTCAGGGGTTCTGCTCTGCAAAACCTCTGAGGCTGACATTATCATTGACAGGGTTAAACTTTGGGCTTGGAGTTGTAGTGGCATCGCAGACCAACTCAGTGAAAGGAAGAATTTCAATGAGTGCGGTCAGATTGACAACAGGGATGGGAAGTAGGTGTACTAGATTGAATAGCCCACAATCACAAGTCACTGGCAGCCCAGTGTGTCAGACTCACAGCAACTTGAATCTGTTTTGAATTGATTTTGAATGGGATTTTTAGCTGACATTGTGCAGTATTTCAATTCGGCAAGTTTTAAAAATCCCTGTCAAACCACAAAAGCCAGTCAAAAGGAGTTGGTTTCAATCTGATCTCTCTGCCACATCAACTTGTAAGCAATCAAGCAAGTCACACAATTGGTCATCAACAAAAAAATCAACTTTGAGTGATTTCCAAGGATTTGTCACAATGAACTCAGCATTTATGTTTTCCATGACATCCAAGATCACCAACGGCACATCAAGAAAGTGACAAGGTAAACACATCACAACATGATCTCAGTTTTTCACTCAAAATATCAAGCGACCTTGTGTATGACTGAATTCTCCTTTTTTTGCGAGAAATCTCATTGAAAATTATGTTTGGAGAGAAGAACTACCTCAATGACATTAAAAACGCGTGATCTCTTTTAGAAACTTCAACTGACCAACCACTGAGCAATTAAGACTGAGGTTAAAAAACCCCGCACACTGACATCCAGACAGAGAGCTCAAGTTGCTTGTCCCGCTGCCTTTGATCTTTTTCGGACCAAAAAGATGTCTACGTAGAAATTACAGATTGGGGAGTTGCGCGTCGAGTCTCAGCATTCAAAATTTATTTCCAAAGCCGATCCTTGAAGTTTGAGTTGAGACAAAGCTGAAGTTAAACTGTTGCAGAGGAAGTTTCAATCAGTGGCAAGTATAGTCACAGCGTGTCTTACTCACATGAATCCCAATGCAAAGTCTTTTATGATACTGAGTTGCTGATTTATCTTACTCTTGTCGCGTAGCTTTTTCCCGAAAAGGAAAGATTTCAGTGAAAAATTGGCACTTCAGCAACAATGAAGAAATGGACCACAAGTCAAAGTATTATACCACCGCCATGGTGACTGGTCGCGATTGTTTCTGGGACTGATTCTCTTATAATCACCAAAGGAAGGATCTCTGTCAAAATGTTTTGAGGCTTCAACTTCACCAAAACAAAGACATGTGTCATCGTCACCAGTAAGAATCAGATGGCAGGTCTCGAAAGTTTGGGGGGGGTACAAACAGAAAATATCATTGTAAGCATATCCGAGAACCTCGATCTAACTAAATAGTTGAAAACTACAAGTAAATGAGAATAATCGGTAACAAAGACAGGCTACACACAACGGGAGACACAAAAGCAATTTTTTTCTAAAACATTTTGTAATTTTTTGAGAATAAAACGATTCAAGGGGGTTAATGTACAAGTCAAGAATAGCAAACAAATCAAGGGGATTCACGATTTCAGAATAGTGAATAGCATAAAACAAACAACAAACTGAAGAGGTGTAATTTTTTTCAAGTTTATCTTTTGTTACTAAGGTATTTTTTTCAAGTAAGGTTCATTTTTCAAGCGAAGTTCAAGTCTCATTATTCATACGAACATAGAAAAGGTATCACATCATTCTTTCCATCTTGTCAAGTCGAAAAATTCGTTAATATCGTTTTCAAGTAGTAGAGCGTAATTCGATAAGACATTTCTTCACCCAAAAGACGACAGCTGAGCGTAAAAGAGAAATTTTCGCAACAAAGAAAAATGTTTAAGAATGATATCCAAAAAGAAAAAAAAAAACAAAAGAACTTACGGAGATCTTCTTTTGAGAGTTGCACGGATCAATGCTCTACTCCTTAATGATTAATGAGAGCATTCTGTTAACAATGCCTTTGGCTCTCCGTTCTTCCTCTTTCTTCCTTTCCTCTTCCTTTCTAATCTCTGCCTCCTTTCTATCGACCTTATCTTTTTCTAAAATTTCTAATAACAAATTTTTAGCTGTTCGGCGTCGATATTTACGTGTAGGGGCCACCATTTGGTTGCCGCCAGCTGAAGACGGTCCAGCAGCGCCCGAACGTATAGTTTGGTCATGAGAAGGTTGAGTTGTTTGATTTCTTTCCCAAGGTGGAGCGAGTCCAGGGATTTGGGGGGCTTCTGGTGGGGGCTTCGGAATTGGGATTGGCGCTGGCATTACGTGTCGTGCTTCGCTGGTAGACATTCTCTTTGGCAGGCTGGTGGTCGGGATAGTCGCGCTTCCTTTTAGTGAGTCCAAAGGATGGGAAACAGATACCGCAAGATTAGGCCGTATCTCTAGTGGAAGAGGACGAGATTCAAAGTAGTGGGGTGTCTATCAGCTATTTAGCTTCAATGGGGTATGAATATTTGTGTGTACGCTTTGTGAAAGATGCTTACAGCGTTAAAAAAGACAAGATAAGAGTATCGTGATTCAGAAAGATATCAAAGTCAAGAGATGTGAGGAGAGTTGGTGATTGGGGTATGGATATCTGAGTTGAAGCTTTGGGGACGATGTAATAGCGTTGGAAAAAGATAAGAGGATCGTGACTTCGAAAGATATCAAAGTGAAGCAACGTGAGGAGAGTTGGTGACTTTCTGGATCCTGAAGAAGCGATCAAGTGGCCGTATTTAAGTCCTAAACACATAGCACAAAAAGGATGGGGGCCATGAAAAATCGCTTACCTCATAATCTCTATAGAGTGGGCAGGGTGGCAGGGTGGCTCGAGAGGTAGAAGTCAGATTTGGTATGGCAGTGTGACTAAGCCTATCTGAGGATCATCGCGGAGGATATAACATCAGCTTAGGTATCAGGCTATGGTACCCAGTCAGCGCATCATAGATGACATCAATGAGAAAAGATGAGGAGCCCCTTTTCATTTGAACCACGCGCGGAAGAGGGCCAGATAGCTGAGGGTCAGCACAGGTCCTACCACACCATCTAAGGAAACAAATGGATCTCGATTGAAAGTAATCACCAACACACACTTTTGATCGTCTAGGCCTGCTGACCCGCATCTATTGTATCTTGGTGACTGTCTTAAAACCGCAAAAAAATCACTTGCTGATGTACGCATAAGATCCCCCCAAATATTCTTTGGGGGACATGTAGCCTCGTGAAACTTAAGACCAACACAAAGATGGACATTCTTACGGGCAGAATTCCTATATCGTATCAATATAAGAAGCTATCAGTCCTAGAAGACATCCTACGATTGCAAAGGAACAGATAACTTACAGGTCTTTCCTGCACTTGCTCTGTGTTTGTCCTTTGCACGTCGCAATATTTGAACGGTGATGGCCTGATTCACAAGGAGTGATTTTTTTTGGAAAATTGTCGCGTCATCTGAATATTATGAATCACTAGATCCTCGACCAAGTAGAACAATCAACGTGCAACTCTCTGCTTATGATTTCTGCCTCATCAAAAGGCCAACACAATCCCCCAATCCTCTGGTGCGTTGGGGGAGCCCTTTTTTTCGAGGAAGATTGAAATTTGTACCCTACTTTTCAGCTCATCTCAGCAACGGAGGCAAGCATATCGGAGAGAAGCCCCATCTGAGGAAGCTCTGTACCATGAAAAGCATACAAGCATTTTTTTAACCTAGCATTGACCTAAGCATCAGCTACAATCCTCAGCGGAAGTTCGAGAAGTAAACAACTGTTACAGATGACGTACCAACACTAAACCAATAGTCAATCACTGCTCTGCCCATGTCCTCAATTCAAGTAGAGATCATATATCACAATTCATAATTAGGGATGGAAAGCTTTTCGATAGCCATCTCATCGCAGTCTTTCATTTCGAACATTTTAACCCGGCAGCTATGACCCCTAAACAATTCTTATATTCTAGTTTTTCGCAAATTGTCTTCATTCCAAGCACTGTGGTTTCTATCTGGATTCGTTTTCGAAACCAATTGTCAGAATAAGAGGACCTATCCTATGTGGAAGACGGTTTTTCGTAAAGTGGCTTCATTTCAAGCACTGCGATGTCTATCTGGTTTCTTCTCGAAATCCATCGGTCAGAATAAATGGACATTTCATATGATGTGGAACACTTTGTAAAGAAAAGCGCCATATTTTTTGTTGCGCGAATGCCTAACAATTCAGCGCTAAATCGAGCGAATGTCGATAGGGTCATATCCTGAATTTGATCACCTGAATTCAAATATGAGTGCTCGAGAAATGATTTGACTGAGTTTACACGAACATCTCTGATTTCCTTGTTGAACCGCGCGCGATGCGTCGTACATTCGAGAAGTGAATAACGGCTACCGGAAACACACCGACAGCAATTCTAGAATTCAATGTCTGCGCTGACCATCTACTTAATCCAAATTGATAATTTATTGTCACCAGACCCAATGAGGAGTGTAAAGCATTTTTGATAGTCGTCACACTCATTTCGAACCTTCTACGTACATCTCAAGAATCTTAAAACTAAAAGGCAGACAAATGTCACACTTTTTCTCGCGCGTATGCCTCCCAATTCGACGATAGATCGGGCGAATGTCCATCTAACTTTACACGCAGGTTTCTGAATTTCACTCCATCGCGTTCCAAAGTATAACGCGTCCTACTATGGTCCATCCAACGATCGATCCGAGTCCGATTCGCGTCCTTGTTTCCTCTTTCGTCCAAAGGATGGTTATGTATCCGCGGATGGGAAACTTATACGATTGCCATCTCGCGGTACCTGCCTTGGGCACCTTTGATACCTTCTCTCCTTCTTTCGAGTTTCGAGACGCTTGGATTCCCACGAATTGCCGACGTTTCCATGCACGAGACACCTTGTCCACGGTACATTTACAAATGTCCGAAGCGATCCTGCTCTCGGTCATTGATGTGGTATTATATCTATCGGATCCCAGCCATCTCAAGGTGTTCAGCAGTTTACGACGAGAGCTCAAGTGACGCCATCGGATGAAGCTGAGGCTGCTGAGCATCGCCGCGACTCATGGTGCCAGTGGTGATACGGTGAAGTAAACTTGGTCGAAGCGGTAGATGCGTTGTAGTCGGTGTCGGCGTTTCGAGTCTGTACTACATGAAGCGATCAAGGATCAGTTTGTTGACCTCAAGAACTTGAAGCAATTTTTTTCACTCACTATGCAGGGTTGAACTTTGAACTTGGTGGGTTTTCAACGGATCTTGTTGAATCTACATAGAGCGCCCCGATTGTTGAAAGCTGAGCCGACTTACAGCGCAACTCGCGGGAACGTCCGTGAAAATGACATCATTACTACATATCCCACCAGTTGGATCCTATATGGTCCAAACTTGGCGGGCACCAGCGTCAGGAAAAGAGCTCATGTACAGATAGAGATTGTTTAGAAATCCTTTTTGGGGCGTTGTTTGTAAGTTATGATCAACAATCCATGCTCCAAATAGCCTCTGACGGCTTCTGCTGCTGCAAACGGAGCTAGAGATAGTATGTATTTTATAACGTACAGTCGATTTCAGAAAGCTTGGAAACTTTCGCCCGCCAAACTTGAGCAAATTGGCGCGGAATTCTTTCCAAGCTTGGTGAAATTGACTGTACATTGGTCAATCTTTCATCGAAAGAAATCTTTAAGCTGAGAACGTCACTATGAGTTAAAAGGAACATTAAATTGAGACGCTATGCTTGAACAGTGTTCTTTCATGGAGCAACTCATTCAATCATTCATTCATTCTAATTGTCAGCACTCAAGCTCTGGGGATACCACGATTAATGATGGAAGAGATTGAGTTGTTCTAAACTTGCATGATATATATGCATCTTTTTAATACCAAAATGGTAACTGCATGACATCACAAATCCCAAAACATGTTTAGCTGCCATAGGCATCATCGTATTCAGACAGGCATATGCAAACAAAAAAGGCTAAGAAACAAGTAATCGCAGTACGAAAAAAAGGCGGAGTCCTTGCATTGTGATCGCAGGTGAGCGTCTAAGAAAGCTACCTTCAGCTATAAAATTTAATTCTTTGCTTGACATGATGTGCTACCAGGACTCGGAGTAGTACTATCCACGGCTATCTTCACCTGGTCGTCCCCGTCAGGCCCAGGAACCCAAGCGATACCAATCTGACTCGGGAGAAGATGTCAGGGTCCAATTTTTCCTAGGTAACGATTGTTGGATACAAGTTATGAACTGTGAACTCACTCCGCCGGTGCACGTCTGCAAGATATAGTTATAGACTGGCGTGACTTCATCTACAGACCTATCAATTTGAGACAATACAAGGCAAAGAGTCAAGACACGCTTAGATAAAAGCGTTTTAAATGGGGACCAATCAAAGTTGACTTACTTGAGTATAGTGGTCATAGTGCTGTTGTCCGGATTCTCGAACATAATCTGGAGGAAACCATCACCGTGGATCAGCAAATCAGACTTCAGTGATCCCATGGGATGATTTACTCCACTCACCAGACAGCCACATTGGTCATGAAATTTTTCCCCGGCTTCGAACACCAATTGCCCCTGTGGGTTCAGAAATTTGTTCAACGCTCTACATATATCGTAGTATCGATGTTCAAGCAAATGAAAAAAAACATCAGCGCAATATCAAAACAAGGACGATGATCGAGGTCACTGCGTAAGCAGAGCAAGAAAAGACTTGCAATTGACACTCGGCCGCATTCACGGAGGGTGGCATGCCCTCGGCGGGGTCCAGACACCTACTGGTGTAACTGCGGACAGGAGGTACTTGTGAATTCGAAGTAGTGGACAAAGCTGCACATAAAGTAATAAACTTAAGAAGAGCTAGCATGATTTCAGGAGATGAGAATGAGGTAGGAAGTAAAGGTATGTTAGAGAGTCGAAAGGTAAATTGGTCAAATGATGCAAGAATGAGGGTGAGGCCGGAGTGAGTCTCAAAGGGTTCCTGCTTTATAGAGAAACACGGTGAGTGATGTCAAGTTGTCCGAGGGACTGTGAATTTAGATTTATATGTAGATAGATGATATCAAAAAAGCTCTCCCACCTCACAACAAAAGGCAAGCAGGAAGCTTTCAATTTGTATGAATTGAGCTTGTCAAGCTTACTCAACTAGGACGTGAATCTTCGATCCATTCTTTTCGCATGTCAATAAGTCCCAGGATGGTGGTAAGGGATAAGGATTCCTCTGCAGAGGAAATCTTAATTTCTCCATTGCCGTGAGCTCACCAGGGGATCTTTTTACCGCGCTTCATGGGCATATGTGCTGCCACTCGCTTCAAAGTGTACAACCTGAATGATCAAAATTCCGCGGTTGCTCACCGAGCTACATATTTTTTTATTTTCACACTAGATATTAGGCGGCCAGCCGCCACACTGTAATAGCATCATATTGATGTATGTATCATTGTATCAATCATTGGCCCCATATCATGATACTTCACTCATAGATTGGTGTGTGTTTGTTAGCAATTCCAATTGTTGTGCCAATCAATAATCCACACTGTCTTTGCTTGTCACTTCTCAAACCACAATTTTTGGTGTATCCTGCAGTTGCTGTTTGTTTATCTTGGCATGCTCATTGACTACTGCTATATATGGAATTATAGCCCATATGACTCACCTCTAGCACACAATGTAGCAATATCCTTGAGATTGACTTTCCATTAAACCTTCTATGCAGCTTCCAAACTTTGACCAGCATCTGTAGGAAGATCAACACACAAGCAACAAAGATCAAATTTTGTACATACATTTCCTGAAAGTGTCAAGACATGTCAGGATTGGATTGAATTTGAGGCTCATGTTGTCAGAAAATCATCTCATATGCAAAGACAGTAGGCTTGAATGGGGGGTTGCCCTGGCGGCTCCCTGGACCTCTTGAGCTATCCCGCAGCCCACCCCTGGCAACCCCGGATGCAGGGACTCAACCAAAGAAAAAATGAAAAATGAAGAGCATTAAATTTTGAGTTTTATAATGGAGCATTCCATTCTGAAATGAATGTAATTATACTATAGCCCAAAGAGGAGGTGTGAAGGGTTTCTATGGACTCATTTACACAGAGACACAAGGTGTGCTCAAGATCTTCCTTGGAAACTTTCTTTGAGATTCAGTCACATAGACTAAGTAGGTTTCATCTGCATCAATAAAACGTTGGTGCATGAGACATCTTTAATCCTGTGCCTGTTTTTCTTCCTTTCATGTACTTCAGAAATTTTTCATCTTGTGTATTTATAATACTACCAAAAGGAAATGGCTAGATTTGATTACGAACTATATTAATTTTTCAACATAGAATGAGAGCTGCAAAATTGAACTGCTCATGCATCAGCTCAACTCTGTGCTACCTTCCACCTCTCCCCCTGACTTTCTTGTGTGAACCCAGGCTGCAGTGAGTGGGGGGAGAATGGTATGCTCCCAATTTTGCCCCTGAAATACCCCACAGAAATTTTGGTCCCCAATCTCATCCTGGCTCCCGCGCCTGGAGCCAGGAACTCCACAGATTTGCGGGGCCAGGGCAACCACTGAGGCTTGATCAAATATTGGACAGGCCAAGCATTTCAGTAGCTTTGATTGTTTACATGGAAAGGAGAGGTGCCATCAGCATTTTGAGAAAGATTGTGTACAGCTTGTCTGTTGGACTTCTTCTGATGGTGTATCCAAAATCACAACACCTTCAAATATCCACTGTTTTGATGTCAGTTCTTGTGAAGGGAAGAAGATAGATGGTGCAAAATTAAATGTTTTCAGCGGTCAAATTCTGCATGGCTGTGGGTCAAGAATCTGCAGATGGCTCTAAAGTTTTTCTATCTCCAGAGAAAGTTTTAGGACAGTTTATGGAACACCAAAACTTTGCTGGCCCATCACCAATGCTCTTGCTTGAGTGCCTTCTTCATCTCTCTAAAAACTCAAGCTTCACTGCTCATTCCTACTTGCATCCCAAAAGTTTCCATCACTGATTGATCATCACAATGAACCACTTCTTTTTATTGCACTGGGTATCTTCCATTGCAACACAATTCTTGTGTACAAGTTGTCTGTTGGACTTCTTCTGATAGTATATTCAAAATCACAACACCTGCCAATACCCACTATTTTTAGGTCAGTCCCTTAGAAGGGAAGAAAACAACTGGTCCAAATGTGAATGTTCTCAGCTCTTAAATTTTGCATGGCTGTGGGCGAACAGTCTGCAGATTTCTCTAAACTTTTCCTGTAAATTTCCAGAGAAATTCTCAGGACAGTTTCTAGAATGCCGGAAACTTTGCTTGCCCATCCTAATGCTCCTGCTTGAGTGCTTTTTTCATGTCTCTATAAACTCAAGTTCCGCCACTCATTCCTACTTGCATCCCATAAGTTCCCATGACTGATTTATCATTGGAAAGAAACAATTCATTTTGCTGTATTGAATCTGAAGTCAAATTTGATAGAAGTGAAACCATAAGGCAAAGTATTTGTGTTTTGTCATTCTTCAAAACAGGATGAATCAACAAAAGACCAACGTGTTTGTTGAAAAATGTAACAAATATCCTCAATCAGATTAGTTCCAAGGCTTCATTTGGAAGCACTTGAAGGTGTGTAGGTATATTTTTTGGAATTTACTAAAAGCAGCCCCCCCATGTGAGGTTTCACTGCCCCCTTTTATGCTGTATTTCAATTCAAAATATTGTCTATCACACAATAGGGGGCGGTCCAGAGAGCTGATTGGAGCTGGTTGCAAGTTTTTAGTGGATACAGCAGGTGGTCTTGAATACAGCACCTGTATTCTCTGAACTAGTCCAGGAAATAGAGATTTGAGTGAGACATCAAGAAACCTCCACTGCAATGAGATTGCCAGACTCATTATGAAAATGTCCAGTGTTTTGTTGACAAGGATTTTGGGAACTAAATGTCATATTTACAAGACCTTCAGTAGTGCAAGATGTACATGAGATCAAAGGATTTTGGATAGGCTAGCTTTCAAACTTCTAGCACTTATAGCTCCCGAGTTATTTGAATGTAACGGTCAAACCAGCCTTAAAATCAAACATCAGAATCAGGCCTTGGAGGCAGGGGGAAATTTTGTGCCCATCAATTTTGCACCCAAGTGAGCAAAGTTGAGAGTCTCGGAGTAGGCTTGTTTGATAGCCCTACTCCATGCACATCTTTTGGAGTGCTCTGGAAGCTAGGGCATGGAGGGGTGTGTTGTGTAGAGCCCAAAAACTGAATCTGGGTTTTGTCAGATACCTCTATAGGCGCCTTCCTGGGGCCTGTTCCAGACTGCCCCCTTCCCATCCCATGTTTGTATTATACAGTAACAGTTTTCTTTTTCCCGGCTAATAGGGGGCAATCCAGCCTCACAAGGGGGGCTGCCTTTAGTAAAATCCTGAATAAACCATTGCTTGCTCTTCTTTTCTGGGCCAGGAAGATCACCAAGTGTAATTTATGACTGAAGTGCAGATGGGTTTGAAGGTCTTTAGCCCACTCAATGATGTGTTGTCTTTCCTGTAAAAAGGTCATCAACTCTCTGGGCAACAGAGGGATACATGGGACAAAGGACTGCTAGACAATACCAAAATCACACCGCTACAATGCCCAGGTTTTCTGCCTGTTGTGCGTGCGGAGCAATTGCTCCGATCCTTACCACTCCACACCAAACTGCACATTTGATTTTTTTTCCTCACTTGGGAGTGTGTAGTGATCAAACCACTATGCACACCGCTATATAGCGCAGCTCAGGTGTGCTCCGCTCAAAATTGCTATATAGCAAAGTGTGCCGCAATATAGCGGCGCACATTGTTCCAGAGCAAGGAAACTAAATCTTTTGAAAGTAAAAAATAACAAAATTTGAGATTTTCTTCTTCACAACTAAGCTATCAAGGTGATGCTGAAGAGCCCGCGCGGTTTCTTCAAAATCTCCACCAGGCATCATCCCTTCCTTCAACCACAATTGAGAACCTACCAGACGCTCCATCGTCTTAGGTGGCATACCTCCACATGATGGGGTACATACATCGGCCGCGGCGGAAAACGTACGCTCACAGGCACAAAAGTGGCTGAGACAGACAGGTAATCGTGTGCCAGGTGTGCAAGGTTCGGAAAGTGATGTTCATGTTGCTATGATTGAAAACAAGATGTTACTATTAGCAAGCTGCCCATGACAATATAATAAAAAAGATAATGAACCTTCCACCAACCCAGAGGAGTTTGATCCTTTTGGATTGGGTATTTGCCTTGCAAATAGTCCTCGAGCTCAGAGCTAGATGATTTGTCAGCTGGCATGTTCGAACCTCCAAATAAGTCAATTGCACCGGGCTCCTCATTATAATGTTGATCCTCTTGAGGGGATGGGGATTGCACTGCATTTGTTTCCTCCACGACTTCTTGGAAAGCCTTCTTGATAGCCAAGTTCAAAGAGAACTTGTAGTCGGGATAATGAATTGAGAAAAACTTGCCACAGAATTGTGGGTTAAGGATGGTGGCAAGGATCACTGTTCAGTGCTTCATCACGGTACTTTGAGAGCCATTGGATCATCTCGTTGATTGCGCGTATGAGGCTAGGATATTCAGTAGCATCAGATTGAGAGCTTTCCAGCTCAGCTATAACACGTTTATATTTGGCCAATACAATACACCCGGTGTGGAAATAAAAATCACTCGAGTCTTTTTAGGGACCTTTATATAGGATTCTTTTTTATTTTTATTTTTATTTTTGGGGACTCTCTCAGCTCAGCAAACAAAGAAAAAAAACCATTTCAAATTTCGATTTTTGGGTCTTTTTTCATTACTACATTCTCAGCTACAACTAGGCTCTAACACAAGGGACTGGGCTAGACATATTAAGAAGAAGAAAAAAAAAAAATATATATAAGGAGACAAGGGTGGGCTGAACCCTTATGGACAGCAAACGATCGATTGGGCAGTTTATACTAAAGGAGGCTAGATTGAAACATAAAGAAGGAGGAGTCAGCAAGGCAGAAGTTACAGAAGGGAGAGGAGAAAAAGAGAAAGTAGAAGGGACTTACCCAAATTGGTCCAAGAGATCGATATCAAGTTCGATTGGAAAGCAAGGCAATGGAGAGAGAAGGGATGGTGGGGATGATGACGAGTGGACTGGGCAGGGCGTGATTAAGCCACATTCCGTTTTGGAAACCAAGCTAAGAGTAATCTAACAGGCAAATACATCAAGAATAAGAAAGGAAGCAATTCAATTAGCAATTAGAACAGGTTAGAAGATAGGCATGATAAAGGTAAATCGAACATACATAGGTTTGATTAGGTTTGGAGGTGTTGGGGGTATAAGGAGGCTCTGATCGATTGTGAGTGAGGGGGTTGTACCGTATCGTATCGTATCGTACCATCGGAGAGAAGTTGTGTGCGAGATTGAAGTGTTCCTTTTCTTTTGTTATTGTTAGCAAGATCTTTCTAGATTAGAGCATCCACAGCCGTGGCGCAAATCTGTAACGTACGGAGGGCTGCACAGATCCGTTAGGGCAGTGTTTGAGGTATATGAAAAAACCCCTCCACAGCCGTGATTCCCTAAAGTACAGTTAGTAGCATTATTTAGTGTGATTTTGCCATATGCTATGAGTGAGTGAGACGAAATGCAGTTTTCAAAACAAGCAACTGTTCCCAGCACTCTCAATCACTCGCCTCTCAATTTGATACATTTGGTTCCTCCTATATTTAATCCATCTTTGTCTTTCTTCAATGCCTGTTCAACCTGATCTCAATGAAGAAGAACTCTTGGATATCCTCCTGGATGATTACGAGGATGAGGACGCAGCCATCCAAAACACAATGATACAACACCGGGCCATTCTTCAACGTAGAAATATCCTTCAAAGTGGAAATACACGTGCTACTCGTCAAGGTCCACGTTTGAGAATCTTTTGAGATCGAGCTGAAGGTCACGAAAAGCTTCATCAGCACTACTTTTGTGATTCTCCCCAATACCCACTCAGTCGCTTTCGACGTTGTTTTCGAATGAGTCGCCCGCTCTTCTTTTGCATCTCTGATACTTTGGAAAGATCTAATCGCTACTTTGAGCAGAAGCGGGATGCTACGGGTACTTTGGGCTTCTCTTCAAGGCACAAGTGCACAGCAGCAATACGTCAGCTCGCTTATGGAACATCTCCCGATATGTTTGACGAGTATTTACAAATGGGTGAATCTACGGCAATTGAATCTCTCAAGCACTTCTGTCACTCTATTGTAGAAGTCTTTGGGCCTGAATACCTTCGAAAACCCACCGAAGCTGACCTCAAGAAACTTCTGGCTGTAGCAGAGGAACGAGGAATACCTGGTATGTTGGGTAGTTTAGATTGTATGCATTGGGAATGGAAGAATTGTCCAACAGCATGGCATGGTCAGTATTGTGGGAAAGAGAAGGCTCCGACCTTGGTTCTTGAGGTGGTGGCTTCAAAGGACTTGTGGATTTGGCATGCGTACTTCGGTTTACCGGGAACTCTCAATGATCTCAGCGTACTGGCTCGATCACCACTCTTCCTAGATTACCTCAATGGACAACAGCCTGAGGTCACATTCAAAGTCAACGGCACTGAATACAGCACCGGTTACTATTTGTCTGATGGAATCTACCCGGAGTTCACAACACTCATCCAAACAATATCTTGTCCTGACACTCCAATGAAGAGGGTCAGTTTTCTTCATTTTTCTAACCTTTGCAAGCAAGTCTTCAAGTTCTCATTAATTTTTTCAATCATCATCCAAAGCTTTTTGCACAAGTTCAAGAAGCTTTTCGGAAAGATATTGGACGGGCTTTTGGTGTCTTACAGGCAAGATGGCATATTTTGCGTAATGGTGGGCGGCTGTGGTCAGAAGCCGATCTCGAGGCAATCGTCAAATGCTGCATTATACTACATAATATGATTATCGAGGACAGTAAAAGAGAAAAGGAAACAGACCCTTATGTAGCTCAAGAACACACCTTTGTAGTTCGTCCGGCTGAAAGCAATACGGCTTGGATACAAAATCGGGCAGGATATTTAGCCAAATATTGACACATGCGCAATAAGAAAGCCCATCATCAACTAAAAGCTGACTTAGTGCAAGATGTGAGAGAGGGATCCAGAGTTGATTCCATAATGAGAAGATGTATGTAGAAAAGACGTGGCTGGTTGAAGAAGACGTGTTTGAGCAGACCAAGAGTGAAAATGAAACTGTAGTTGGAGGAAATTTGGCACGGTGGTTTTGAAATCATGGGAGAAGCAAGGTACGGAAGGATTTGGGGTGCAAGCCAAAATAGAACATATTTGGCCTATTTTGGCTCGCACGTAGAGAAATTGTTGGATAAAATAGTTAAGCTTACATTGTCAAAACCACTGAGGTACAAAAACCCGCAAAGAACTCAACTCAAGACAACTGTTATTCAAGTGTTTCAATGGTAGACGGATTGGGATAATTTATATCAAGAAGAAATGCTCACGTTTTAAAATCAGAAAGGTAGTTTTTATATTGTTGTTGAAAAGTTAAGAAGTGTTAGAAGGAAACATCCGCATTGGGATTTTATGAATTGATTGGGTGTTAGATTAGTTTCAGATACTTATTATATGAATTTTTGTTCTCTTTCAATTTTGACTCATAAACCTCTCTCTGTCCTCCTTTGGAATTCTTTTTCCCCCATCGAGGAAAAGAATTCTAAAGGTCAGTTATTACCAAAAATGTGTTTTCTCTTTATTCAATCAATTCAATCCTATACTAACTTTTCCACTATGACATAAATTACATTTCTTTTCTTTCTCTCGTTATGTCTATCTCAGATTTCTCTTTATCATTATCCTCACCTGTCTATCAGGTCAGTCGAGTTTAGAACTCGTACTTCTTATCTTTGTCAGCTGTGTCTAATCAACACAACGCTGAGAGTTGTCTTTGAACCCTTATCAAGGTGTGTTTAGTGTTACTGTGTTTTGTTTCTAATTTCACCATCAAGGAAAAGAATTCTAAAGATTTCTCTTTATCATTATCCTCACCTGTCTATCAGGTCAGTCGAGTTTAGAACTCGTACTTCTTATCTTTGTCAGCTGTGTCTAGTCAACACAACGCTGAGAGTTGTCTTTGAACCTTTATCAAGGTATTTGTCACAGATCTACAGCATCGAGCGTAAGATCTTGTTTTCTTACAGAAATACCCAAGCTAAGTAAGTGTTTGAGGTAGATGGCTGTGCATGAAACTACCTCAAATATCTGTACGTCACAGATTTACGCCACGGCTGTGGATGCTCTTAGAAAGAAGAGCAAGGGAGAAGTGTAGAGCGTCCGTTTTTATTAGTTCATCGTTTCAATAGGGAAAGGTTCAAGCGTAGAGAGCAAGTCTTTAATAAAGGAAAAAGAAAGAGAAAAGCCTTACCTTTTAGATTATAAGGGTTGCTGAGCCTTATCGCGGGTTTCTTTTCTTATACCCTTATAAGTGGGAATTTTAGAAATTGAATTTATTTTTTATTTTTTTATTTTACTTAGCCAGCTTAGGGGTTTTGTCCTAAGATCCTAGGGTGTTTTTCTGCAGTTACAACTGTAACTTGGAGGGTTTTAGTGGGAATTAGGTGTGTAGGGTATTGTCAGGGTCTGTAGAAGTTGAAGAACATGGTTTTGGAGGATTTTCAAAGTTTTATTATTTTTTTACTTGCTGCGGGGAAGTTTTTTGGAGAACTGCATTGGGGAACATAGTAAAAAACAGCTTGTTTACATCTGTTTTTGAACTGTATGACCTTTACGGGGATCCTTGAAGCTGAACAAAAGCTTGTAGATTGGATATTCAAGGTTGGAAGCTTATTTTGGTTCTAGAAAGGTTGGCGAAGAAGTGTCTCATTGTATTTTGAGGGCAGCTTAACGGCGTTTTGGTTACGGCTCTTGGCGGTTTATCCTACTTGGGTTGTTTCTTCCCCTTGAGGCTCTGCCTACGCTCCACAGCGTAGGAGTTCTACACCAGTTGGGCCGTTGCCTTGAACTCAAGCCATGGCATCCACAAAGGTCTAACAATGCCAAAGATTATTAAGATCAATATACTATTTGATTTGAAACAAAAGGGAGGAGACTGACCTTGAGAACCTTGTTCACCAATTCGACCACATGCCATTTGGCAGGTGAGATGGTGACACCCTTGAAATAGCACGCTTTGCAATCAGCAGCAAGCATTGAGTTGGTTTCCTGAAAGAAAGACATTAGTTAGATGTCAGATGATGATCGGGATACATTGAGATTGAAGAAATACATACCTCCTGAGCATTGCAAGCCACCTTGCGACTCTTGTAGTGGCTGTTCCAGCGGGTTTTACAAGGCCTCTTGAGCATCCAACCAATGTAACCCAGACGGGTGGCACGGGTCTTGAAGTCATTTTGTCTGGCGTCACTGCTGGTGATTTATCCACTGACGGTATCAATCTAAAGAGCAAAAGTTAGATATATCAATGAGAGAGGTAGAGTGCGTATTTACCTTTCCAAGGGCTATGGCAACCAGGTCTTCTTCCTTGCATACATCTCCAACAATTTCCAGATCCTGATTAGTGTCCTGCTCATCTACACCATTGGGTTCTTTGGGTAGACCAAATTTGTCATTGTCATCCGATTCGGGGTTGTTGATGTCAACGTCATCCTTGCCATGGTTGGCCTCAAGGACAGGGATAGTGTGAGGAGTACGCGTCTGTTAGGTGTACTCTTCACAGAAAATAGAGTAGGAAAAGGAAGGTGTGGTCTTCATGTGGTACACCCAAGTGAAGACTGCAGCTAGTTGACCTCTAAGAAGAGGATTTGAGAAAGGGAATGGAAAGATAAGGGCAATAAAGAGCTAATGTGCTCTAACCTTGTGAGACTGCGAGGGGCAGGCTTTACACTTTGGTAAACCAAAGATCCTGAAGGCTACTTTAGACTCCTTAAAAAGGAGGAAGCTTTGCTACTTTAAGGTTTATTTCTAGAGACAATGAATGCCCTGGGCTCGTAGAAATCAGTACCTTGGGTGTTCAGCAATGGAACCCGTAATGCTCAAGAATGGTCCTTAACAAGCTACACAACTAACCACGTACTTGAAGATCCTCTCAGTAGGAGTCAAGTAACATGTGGTTCTGTGTTGTGATTGTAGTAAAAGATGGGGGGTGATTCTAGGGAAGAAGGGGGGGTTTATATAGTCTCAGTTCCAGCGTCAACTTGTGGTTGGCGTGTGAGTCTTGTCTATTCACGTGTCAACTTGTGGTTGACACTTGGGTTAGGTTTACTATGTATTTAATACATTACATACATGTGTTTAAGTGGCTCTTGACACTGAGCCTTGAGATGTAGCTTATGGCTTTATACAATATTTTGATATTACATATGGTACTGTCAGCCCATGGTCCTGTAATTAGGGCTCAGGGCTGACAGATAGGCCGTGGCTGACCGTGAGGAATTCCGGGCTTGGAAATACAGACCTTCTGACGGAGAACTTTTAGCCCATGACCTACCGTTAGGTTGAGCTCATGGGCATAGCACTTGACGTGGTGCAAAGAGGCACTCCATGTCGCCGGATCTTCAGCACTGGCAAACATTGCCTGCATCTCAGCAGCCATTGGTCCATTGCTTCCGCCGCTATTGGTAACCTGAGCTAGGATGTAAGAAAGAAAAAAACAAAATGATTATTACATATAAAGATGTTCCAAAAAGAAAATAAGAAAAAAACATATCTTTTTATGAAGGCCGTGACAGATTAAAAAACGTCCAATTGGTCTCGCCAGAAGGGCCCAAAATGGCGCCAAGCTACCATTTTAAGGGTAAGGTGGGTTTATTTGTAATTCCAGTTGTTGTTGATATAATTGCATTGTGTACCAAGAAAAACTTACCTTTATTCTCCTATACCCATGTTCAGGACCAAGGATAAATCAGTGAAAGATACAAATCAAAAGGATAAATC